AAATTACTTCTTAAGTAGGCCAACTTTTTGGGGTCTAACGCTGGCTTTACTGTTGCATTTTTTGAAGCATTGCTTTTGTGGCCAGTCACACTTGAACGTGCCAGCGTTTCCACATCAAATAGCATGATGGCTAAATTTTTTACATACATGCTGTCCCCAGCAACACCATCCTTCACTCTAAATTTCGCCTTAGCCATCATATCTTCCGTTGGTTTTAAATTATCCTAAAAATTAAATACATATTTATAAGACACATTCACATAATCTACTTAAATAAATAAAATTAAAAAATATCAAATGATATTAAAATAATCTTCATTAATTAATAAAATAGTTATTTTCTCATCTTAACAGATTTTACACAAATTTCCAGAGAAACATTTGAAGTAACCACATAATTTTCTTCAACTTGAAAACTCAAAAAAGTTTCTTTCGCAATAAAACACACATTATCAGACAAATATAATTAATAAACAAATTAAAACAAGATAACAATAATTTTTGGGTTCCAATTTCAAATCAAATCCAGCATTTATTTTCCCGAATGAATTCAAAATTGTGTTTGTTTAAACTTGCAAGCACATTCATCTCAATGACTATTGACTTAATTTTATTTTTAAGATTAGAGCAAAGAAATAGTTTACATTTGAATGCCTTAATTATGTCAAACATTTTCGTAAATGATCTGATCCTTGCCTTGTAATAATAAATTTAAATTGGGATAGTGTTTGGTTATATTAACCATAAAAAAATAAATCTTGCAACCATATTTGATCGGAAAGCAAGTTGTATCTTTTTTTTTTTAGTTTGTAAAAACTTACATATTTCTTTTTTCAAATCATAGAAATTTTTGAGAACCTTGGAGCAAGATAAATAACGTATCTCGCTATAGTAGGATAAACCTGAATATGTACTATCTAATTCATCTAAGAAAGTAGTAAATAGTCGTTGATTTAAACCTTAAGATCATATAAAATTTATAATTTTTTTTATATATAACAAAACATTCTCCATTTTGGTTACCTTCGTGCATAGTACTTCATTAAGTTTTTAAACCGTAAATTTCTCTAAGTTTTGGTTGTAGTAATGCCTCGAAGCCTTTGTTTTTTCCAGTCTTGGAAGGAGAGCCACCTGTAGCTACAGAATTTAATTTTGACAAAGGTGGATTGTATTTTCGCAGAAGTTCAAAAACACTATTAAATATATCATGCATCGGTATCAGCTCCAATAATTGTCAAAAATGGTTAAATCTTTGTTGCAAACACGAAGAAACACAGCTAATAGAGCTATGCCACCAATGTCTGTACTCTCATTAGGCGATAGAAAAACTTTAAAAACTAGATGATTTTGCTTTGATCTGATCACTTAAATTGACGGTCAAGTCAGTAATTCTCTCCGCAACTGTATGGAGACAAAGAAATTGTTTGAAAAGCCTTCAAATTTTCAGGACAAACAATTTCTGCACCTTTAATTAGACACTCCTTGGTGAAATCACTTTCAGTAAAAGGCTTCGAGTGTTCAGCTATCAGCTTGGACAAGATGCAACTTTCATGTACCGCCCTTTCATTTTCCTGCAATTCTTTACTAAATATTTCATACTCATACTTCATTTTCATACCAAACTTAACTCTTTCAACTTTTCTTGTCTCATAAATCCTTCGTAATTATCATATTTTGATTGATGTTTTTCGTAATGGCGTTTAATATCATAACTTCAGTACATCAATGGTACTATTGCAAATCAAACATATTATTTTACCATTTACTTCACTGCAAAAATATTCCCATATTATTTTAAATATTCGATGTTCGTCGGTGATTTTTCATTTGGTTTTACTACCACTTGGCTTAGATATAGACATACTGAATACAAACAGCTGAAATAGACAAGCAATTGAACCAAAAATAATAAAAAAATTTCATTACAAAATCAATGTTTTGTCTTGAATGTTAACGTACCAAGCACAAATATAGAGAATAACAGCATAAGTCAATAAGCGTAATATAAATTAAGCAATAATCATAACCACTTGCAAGATAACACATGTATAACCGCGTCTTATTAAGTTAGGTGTATCAACTGATGTGTAGCAGTTTGCTGTTGATAGCTTAATGTGAAACGGACAACCCTATCCAATCAGAACTTTAATTTTTCGAGAGTACAGTTTAACATTATCCATATAGTTAATAAATAAAGTATATTATAATTTTATATGCTGGTTTTGTTCTATTTTATTTTTACGTTGAGCTGAATATATTGACTCGGCTGCAAAAATTTTAATCACCGGCCGCGAGTTTGACACCCCTGGTGTACAGGTTCTCCACTCTACTTTTCACAACAATAATAACAATAAATACTTCATAAGCAGTTTCTAAGGACTTAAACTACCATAATTCACACTTTATATTATGCAAGACTTTCAACAAAATTAATATTTAAAATTATTTTTGACATTTGATTAAAATGTTATAATATAAATGCTTTAACTAGACTAAACAAAAAAAAACTTTCAGTAGATTTGTACATTAAAAAAGAAGAAAAGAAAAAAAAAAGAGTTTTAGATAACTCCAACCTAAATTAAGCTTTTTTTCCCGATCTTTTAGGCACCAATCTTTCCAGATTGATAAAATTCTATGGTTTCCCTGATAGTTTTGCTCTTTGACTACCCTGTAAATGCTGAAGAGCTTACCATTTCTAATTCTTCAACTTCCATTGTTGACTTAATTTCTGCAGGCTTAGAAGGCGATGCCTGTGGTTGAAATTGGAGGCTGCAGGTTTCGGCTGATGGTTTAAATTCAGATGACGATGGCTCGGCTAGAGGTGCTGAATGTTTAGACACATTTAAGCCTTCAGGGCTTAATCCTCCGAGAAACTTTTGTTGGTACGAAATGTTTAACGCCAATACTTCCTCTAAATGTTTTTGTGTTACTTCCAACTTATTCTGTAATGAAGAATTGGAAGCTTTCAACTTTCTTATTTTTTTTTCATACTCAGCCACCGTGTCCTTATGGATTTTCATTGGGATGACTGAGTCATCTTCATCAGTGTCTGAGTTTAGCTCCGGGAATGGCAACTCAGTCAGACTTTTCTTCATTCCTTGACGAATTAAAGTCTTCTTTCCCTATAAAATAGGTCAAACTAATTAAAGATAAAAAAATCTTTACATGAAATACTATACAAATGCTATAGTTGGATCTCACTCTAAGAAAAACCGGTTATTATAAAAATTCCTACAAATTAAAGACTTTTTAAATCCCTATTCTAAATAACATTAAAAAAGTGTAATACAAAGACTAATATTATAAAATAAATAATCCATTTTTAAGGTTGAAAATTAGAAAAGAAAAGCAATAAAGCAAAAATAAATTTTAATATTACAAATATTAGCATATTTAACAAAACAGCGCAACTTAATGCTAGTTGAGGTTTGATATCCTCGTACCTTCTTATTCGCTTTTGATGAAGGCCCTTCTTTATCTGCAGTGATATGCTTTCTATTTTCCTTCGCTTCTAATTTCGCTGCAAGCTGTTCCTCATTCACTAAATATTAAAATATCAAATAAAACATTTGAACACATATAATTATTTTATTCAAATTAATTTATTAAATTCTATTATAAACTAAATATCTGGATACCTAATAGCTGATTAGGTAACAATAAAATACAATTATGAAAAGACCCACTCTGGTCTTTTAAGTTGGGTAAAATCATAACAACCTACTATGAAGGTTACTAAAGATAAGACATGAAACTCACTTTATTTTTACTGATTTCATCATAAATCCAAGTGACCTTTTGACAGTTTTTTTTTTTTTTGGCAGACATTAGCAATCAATTTTCATGTGGTTTTTAAATACATTATTTTAGTACGATACAGTCAATACACTTAATATCATATTCTGATTCACGAGTCATGCATTTTGTTAATCATTTTAACTATTCAGCAAACTTTGCTTGGCCATTCTGCATATTTACGAAGAAAATTTTTTTCAACTTAAATTAGAAAAAACAAAAGTAATTTTGAACACAGCATTGTATTTTGTTTAAATTTTTAATTTATTTTAGGTATTAAATTGCAAAGTTGAGCAATAAATAGCAAAGGGAGTAGCTTTTCATGTAATTAATGCAAAAAAATAACAAGACAAAAAATAAAATGTCAGTCACAAACCCAAAATTGGGTCGGCTGTTCAACGAAGGATAAAATAAAAGATGCATAATTTTGAAGAGTACTGTAAAATTTCCAAAAGTCGAAGTTATTTAGATATTATGACAAACCAGCCCATGCTCGCTGACATACGTTTCCTCTATAAACATTTTGATGGAAGATTGTAAAAAAAAAAAAAAAATGAAATGAAAAGCTGTTATGTTTATCACTTTTCTTTTGGTATCGAAATGAGCTAGCTATCGTTGAGCAGAGCTCTCTACCTATGACAGCACTTCGCATTATATCACCATTAGAGCGGGGAAAGTCGTAGAAGGAAGAACATCAGTTTCTCTCTTGATTTTCAAATTGATTAAAAAGTTTTATGTTAAGATGAAAATTTCGAAAAAAAATATTTGTGACAATTCAATACAAAAAACATTAAGAATGGAGAAAATATCATAGTATATTCCTTTATAACTGTGAAGAGGAGAGGGTCAAGAAATCGAACTGATCTTCTCCCCAGATGGCATGTTTAAGCATTGTGATCGCGTATATTAATATTAGAAAAAAGATGTCTTTCATTTATCTTTATTTTACGTAATATTGCTCATTTAAACATCAAAAAAAGGCATTCTCCCCCAAAAAATAATGTTGCAACAGTGGAATCCTAGTAATTTTCAACTTGTTATGAACATACATTATTTGTACAATTAATATTTTGAAGGGGATTTCATAATTTTCCTTGCTTCTTTTATTAAGTTCTCACTGTATTATAGAAGAGTCATAATGGCACTATATAACAGAAAAATAAAAAAGTAAAAAAAGGACAAATCAGGACATATTTTTCATTTGGAAAATGAACAACTTCAGGACAACTTCAATCCTCACAAGTTTTTTTTACAAGATTAGTTCTAAAATTATCAGATATTGTAGGGGGACCTGGGGTAATTCACGATCACTCTGTTTCTGGGATAAATAATGATCACTTAAGATTTATTTAAAAAAATAATATTTTTTTTAAATTTGAGACATGGACAAGAATGCTTGTACACTTTACTAAAGTATAACTATATTTACTTATTAACAGTATATTTGTTTAATCTAACAAAATAAGTATCTTTTAAAATGCTTTTTGTATTTTCTATTTCAAAGATGGGTTTCAAAATGTGCACATTTCTACAAAGATCCTCCTCCTTCTCTTAATTATAAATATTTTGAGTTACTTTCTTTTTATTTGATATAAAAATAGTGTAGGCTTTTGTTTAATTGTTTCACATCTACTGTAAACATTATAATTGATTATAGGAAACTATATCAAATGTTGCCCCCTACAGATGGGGTAATTATTGATCACTGGGGTAATTCCTGATCATTGTCATTTCTTCTTATAAATAGTATAAAAAATAGCTATTAAATAGTCAATTGTCTTTTCTTAAATAACAGTTCATATTTATAAAATGAAACAACTATAAAAGATATCATAAGAGAAAATTTAAAAGTTTACCCTAACAAAAAGTTTAAAAGAAAATAGTAAGAATCTTGCGTTTTGTAAGACTATATAAAAACTAGGAAAAATAAATATTTCTTTAAAGATTCAATTAAAACGTAATATAAGAATTTTATCAGGTGTAAGTTTTGACACTTGATTGAAAACATTAAATTTTTAATGTTTGGTGATTAACATCTATAGCAAAACACTGTCAGTAGATTCTTAACAGACTTAAGTACCTAAATAAGAAAGGATTATAATTTAATTACTTACCAGCTACCTGGAGTACCCAACCTTTGTAGTATCCAGGCAATGGAGAATTTCTCCTTCTACTTTTTTTATCCTCAACAACATCATCCAACGTGAGGATTTTTCCCTGTTTCCTCAACAGAGACTCAGGGGTATCATCTTGTGATGGGCTCCAGAAGATATCAAAGATCTCATCAAAATCAAATGGACATCTAAAATCTTTAATGAAATCTACTGGAACAACAGATGTTTGCTTATCGCAGCAGAATTTTACCAGAGCGAACATTTTACAGAGCGAAAAGTATAACGAAAAAATTCAATTTATAAATTAGCGCCTAAACGAAAAGCGTGAATAATAAACTTGCATTCACTTCACTTCGCTTAAGAGTTTAAATGGATTACGATCCAAAATTCTATTATTTCAAAATAAACGAGTTAGGAGATTCAACAAAATTTTTGACCAGTGTTATTCTTAAATGGCGATCGAAATGGGCTGCAGGTGGCGTAGAGCAGAACTCTTTTCCTATGGCAACACTTCACATGCTTTCCCCATTAGCGTGTGGAAAGTCGTAGAGGAAGGAAGTACGTTAGTTTCTCTATTGATTTTCATATAGATTGAAATCTTTTAACTTGAAAAACTATATGGAACTGAAAACTACATTAAACATAGTTCTAAAGAAAAGTATTATGGAAATTTTAAAAAATATTCTTATTAAATAAAAAGGAAAAATATTAAGAAAAGGGAAAATATCGTAGTACATTCCTATACAACTGAAAAGAGGAGAAGAGGCAAGGGAGAAGGGCTAAAAGCATGAAACCGGTCTCTCCCCAGATGGCGTATTCGAGTGTTGCGATCGCGAATAGATCAGACATCGTAGAGATCGAATTAATTTCTGAAGTTTAAAAACTGCTGAAAAATTTTATATTAACAACTTTTTTTTATTATCAAATAGAGATTAACTTTATTTGATACTAAATAAAGTCCAACTGTGTATTGTAAACACACGATTCCCAGTTGGACTCCTAAAGTCTATCATCACTGGCTGTAGTCAATGAGTGGGTTTATGACCACTTTGATCAGCCTGCTTATGAAGCGAGAGTGCACGGTATCGGTCCTCGTTAAACTGTTCCGTTAAGTGTTCGACTTCCAGCAGAGATCGTCAGGCTATCAAAGTGGAGGAACCATGTCCTCTGAAAAGGATAAAAATTGCGATGGTATGTCTCCGGATCATATTTGGGGATGTTCCCCAGACCATCGCCAACAGCCAATTGTGCATAAATACCCTACCATTAAAACTGAAAAAATATATATGACAGTAGTGATAAGCTCAAACAATCTCTACACATAATAAAAAATTAAAAAATTATCATTTATCTAAACTTATAATAATATAAATGAAGAAATCAAACTTTTTTCCTACAACGTATTTTATGATACAGTACATTTCCATTTAAAACAGAAAGTGTTTAAAATTTGAAATTTTAAAATTTACTCTTATAACTAAATATTTAATTAATATTTACCTTTTTAAATAACATTTTATTTCATTTAAATATTTAACTTTTTAAATAATATTTGATTTAATTTGAATAAACGTTTTAAATAATAATTGAAATTTCTTCAAAATTAAGTTGTGAGAGTAGGTTGATAAGAATTAAAAGGCTAAGAGTGATGATCGTGTCCGGATCACCAATGTGGGAGTACACCACCAATAATGTCTACCATCATCTGTCAAAAGGCAGCTTCAGATCGAATTGAGTAGACATGTCTTATTTACCAGTGATAGTCAATGGGAATTGAATAGTTGTAGTGGTACAGAGTAAATCAAACTATGTATGACTAAGTCAACAACATTTAATGAACTTTTCCAAGAAAACAGAAAATGTTCATTTTTTAAAAACTCTTCTTAAGGGCCCCATACTCCCAAACCGACTTTTGCGAGGCCATATACCCACCCTTTTATTCAATAACGTAACGACGTGCATGTCTTAGATATATATCAATTTAAACTAAGTGGGGTCCCTTGACATAATTACTTGTTTAGCACTTGTTAACATAAATATACTAGTTTAACCGGTGTTTAAGCAGACGGAGCATCGGTAATGCCTTTGTTTATTGCTACAACATTCATTAGCTAGCTAGTGTGTTTAATTAAGGTTTATAAACCTTTGTTAAGCAAGCAGAAGTACATGTGTATTTATTTACGTTGCACTAGATCTGCACAATAGGTTATTGGTGACTGTTTGGGAAACATTCCTAAGAAAGATCCGAAGACATCATACATACTTCACAGACTGTTTTACAGGGAGGACATATTCACAAACCATCCATCAGTTCGCAGATTGTATTTTTTGCCCTGAATCAGATCAATCTCCGATTTGTACTCGCAGAGATATTCATTTGTCGTGGGAACTTGGAGGATTTTGTTACCCCGACCGATTTAGCGTGCACCACTCACTATTTTGTGCACTGGTAGTCTTCGATCGGTGGAAATCGAAGTCACTACCCCTCGAACTTGGACTAAACACCCTACCAGCGAGACTATTCCGGCCAAAGGATAGATAGAACAGAAGAAATACAGAGAAGGATATCACGGAGAACAACTGGATCTGAGCTTGCTACCTCGACGATATGCCCAGCATTTGGATGGCGATATCGCTCGGCTAGGGAAATCCCTGAATTTTAATACATCAAGCTGTAAAAGGGGAACAACTAATCTTCACTTAAGCGGCAAACATTGTTTTGGTTTCGCGACTGGAGCTATTTAAATCTTTCTTTGACGCTGATTTGCAATTTTAATTCATCTTCTTTCATTGTTGACTGTTATTTTTTAATCGCTTTTAATTGTTATTGTTTAATCCTTGTTAATTGTTTTTTCTTAATCTTTTTGTTAATTTTTTATTCGGCTTTTGTTATTTTTTCTTAGTTTTTTTATTGTTAATTTTTAATTGTTTTCTCTACTGTTATTTTGCTTGACTATATTTTATACATGGCTCCACCTAGAAAGAAAAGGTATAAAAGCTATTTATGCAGTTCTGCGAATATTCCAAAAACTACTAATTGGAGATACACCAAGCAACTTAATTGCGTGACAACATCGAATGATGCTGTTGCGCCGAATGAATCTGACAATGAATCTGATAGAATGTCTACATTTAGTGCTAATTATGAATCTGATGGACTTTCTTTCGATGATAATGAATCACTTCCCAGTGATTCAGAAGAGACCTTAATCAGCAATGCCAACCAAGCTGATTTAAGTTTAAATGCCATTGTAAACAGTGCCTCCAAATGTTCAAAATTTGAAGCCTTATTAATGTGTCTTCACTATGCAATTAGGCATGATTTGACCAACAATGCTATTGTGGACCTGATTGAACTTGTTAATCAAATTAACGGAGCTGAGATTTTCCCTCCCAGTATGTTTCTGTTAAGAAAACTTTTTTCTTTAAATTTGGCATATAGATTTCATTTCTATTGCAAAAATTGCTTAACATATATTGGAGAAGTATCTCTCAATGACAATACCCAAAGAATTTGTGATGTGTGCTCCGAAATTTTTACTACAAAATCATTAAATGATGGTAACTTTTTTTTGACTATACCAGTGGCCCCTCAATTGAAACAGCTCCTTGATTCTAGAAATCAAGAAGAAAAGTTGCCTAAATTCCAAGAATCTAAAGATGGAGTCTTATCTGATTTAAATGATGGATCTGGATTTAAAAAATTTGTTGAAAATGGGATTTACCGAGATGGCGATCTATCAGTAACTTTTAGTACTGATGGATCGGCAGTTTACAAATCGTGTAAAAACACCTTGTGGCCCATTCAATTTCATTTAAATGAGTTACCTTTAAATGAAAGGTTTGATGGGTGTAACACCATGCTCGCCGGTCTCTGGTTCGGCAGAAAAGAGCCAATTATGTCCACATATTTCACACCTTTCATTAAAGAAGCCATTGTTCTGTTTGAGGAAGGAGTTTCAATTGCTGGCATCACAAGAAGAGTGATTTTCACTTCTTGTGTTGCGGATTCCGTGGCCAAAGCTGCATTACAAAATATCAAACAATTCAATGGCAAATATGGTTGTCCATATTGTTATCATCCTGGAGATATTGTTGAAAGCAATCAACTGAAATATACCTTTGGCACCTTTTATGAACGAAGAAATTCAAACCAAATGAAGAAAGATATGATTGCAGCTGAGCAATCGGGAGAAATTGTTAAAGGTGTCAAAGGTCTTACACCCTTTGCTTCTCTGCCATATTTTGATTTGGTATATGGATTTCCGATCGATTATATGCATTGTTGTTTGCTGGGTGTTGCCAAGTTAATGGCCAACATTTGGACCTCTTCAACGAATCACGGCAATGATTATTATTTATCAAACGATAAATTAAAAAAAGTTGATGATAATATAGTGGCAATCACTCCTTCGCAAATCATTTCACGGAGACCACGATTATTCAGCGATTTTGTTCACTGGAAGGCGAACGAATGGCGAGCATGGATGTTATTCTTTTGTGTCCCATGTTTAGACAACATTTTGCCAGCAAAATATGTCCAGAATCTATCCGTATTTTCTTCAGCACTTTTTATCCTGTTACAAGCGGAAGTTAAAAAATCAGATGTTGAACTTGCCAACCAGATGTTACACCAGTTTGTTAAAGACTTTCAAAAACTGTATGGTGTTTTACATATGAACTTTAACGTGCATCTTCTTTTGCATTTGGCCAAATGTGTCAATGTGTGGGGTCCATTGTGGCTCTATTCTGCCTTTCCTTTTGAAACTGGCAACGGCTACCTGGTGAAGCTTATTAAAGGTACCAAAGGGGTCGCAAAGGAGATAGCACAAAAGTATTGCTTATTTTCTTCGATACCTCTGTGCATTCGAAATTACAATGTTTCAGATGAAGCTATTGAATATTGCGACAAAATTTTTACCTTTCGAAGGAATAAGAGAGCTGTGAAGGTTGGGAATATAACATCACTATCACAGTGGAGAGCATTTCAACCAAATGAGGAAGTCACAAATGCCCTATTTAAAGTGAACATTCATCCGTCTAACATACTGCACTCTAAAAAAATAATTAAAGACTCCATGATGTTTGAAATTAAGCCTGAGAAATTAAAAAAATGTAATGATTCTATCGTAAAATTAAATGATAATTCATATTGTGAAGTTAGAAATTTTTTATTGATAAATAACGATGTGTTTGCAGTTGTTTGTGAATTAAAAACGGAGGGTTCTTTTTTTGATGGAAATTTGAAACATATGCTACCTCAAATTAAAATTTGTCAACCTTATTTTTATGGTGAAATTAAAGTAATTCACAGTTCTAAATTAAAATGTAAAAGCTTGTTAATCACTGTTGGTACGGAATCATATATTGCTGATTTCCCAAATTTCTTTGAAAAAGATTAATTGTTAAATTTACCTTTTATATTATAGTTTTAAATGCACTTCTTTTGTATCAACATGTTTCAACCTTGAATTCTATAACATATTTCTTGAAAACTTTAATTGCATATTTTTATTTTACATTTAACATTACATTTTTACATTTAAAATTTCTTCTTTGCCTTAAATAATCTTCCTTAGAAAGAATTATCATTTTGGATGATTATGATGTATGTATATATATTTTGAATTACTACTTTGTAAATATCTTTGTTAAATGTTTTTTAAGAAGAAAGTGAGATTCGTTTGGTGTAATTTGTTTTTGACGGAGCATTTAAAATTTTTTCTTTGCCTTATATAATTTTCCTAAGAAAGAATTATCATTTTGGATGATTATGATGTATGTATATATATTTTGAATTATTACTTTGTAAATATCTATGTTAAATGTTTTTTAAGAAGACTGTCAGATTTGTTTGATGTTATTTGTTTTTGACGGAACATTTTAAATATTTTTTGTACATTATATAGTGTTCAGTTATAACAGTTTTTAGTTATATTAACAGTTATTTCTACAAAACCATTGGAGGTGCATGGATTTGAATCTACAACGAATGTTTCCTATATGGGACTAAAAGTTTAAACTATGGAGCATTTGGAATCAGTCTTCAGTTAATATTGAACATTTGAAAGTTCCATTGAATAAGCGTCACATCCATCTGCTCTAACTGATGTTTCACGGCTTGCATTCCAGAAAAGAATGAAACTGGCTCACCCTTACAATAAGTTAATTCCCCCTCCTTTGGTATCCTTAGCTTGACGTTGCTGGAGGGGCTTGCGTGCTCTGACAACCCTGGGAGCTATGCCGGCGGTAGTTTAACTACCGGTAGGGTCTCCCTAGCCGGACAGGTCCTCGTAGGGTAGGAGCCAGACTAAATGGGATACCACCAAGAGCTAAGTCTGTCGTTTACCTATTCTTTTAGGTGCTCTGATCCTTGGAACTAACAGAAAACAATTGGAATCACCACTTCCTACCATAGAGAAATGTCTAAACATGATTTGACTGTTTTGAAGAACTTTCATGACTGATTTAAATTAGTTGATAATTGTAGGGTCATGTCATTACCTTGGAAAGCTGTGGTCTCAACATTACCAACAAACAAAACTACTGCTGAGAACAGATTTCAATCACTAAAAAAAGACTGACATCAAATGAATCTTTGAAGACGCAGTATGAAAAATGCATGTTGGATTACATTGAACAAGGACATATTGAAGTCTGCCCATCTGCGAATGAAATTGAAAACACCATGTACTAGCTGCCACATCATGCAGTGAACAAAAAACATCAACAGCAAGATAATATAAAGTGGCAAATCCTCTTGGATGCCTCGTCACATGCTCCAGGCATTCCCTCATTAAACGACACTTTAGAAGTTGGTCCCAATCTGGTTGGGTACACTACTACCCGGTAATATAATATGTGGTCCAATGAAAATATAATGGGTCAATATTAAGGTCTGATATCGGGCCTTGCGTTAGTTAATATTGACCTGAGACTGTTGGTTGTCTTCTACGATTTTAACTGCATGAATTAGCCATTACCAGTGATGGTAAACAAGCTTTCCTACAATTGGTTTTGCATCCAAAGGATAGAGATGAAACAAGATTTTCAGATACAAACAAAAGAAAGGCCCTTCAGAAACAGCTACATTTACAGATGAAGTAACTATATACAGGTTCACTCGCTTACCATTTAAACTGTCTTGCAGTCCTTTTCTGTTGAGTGCTACTACACGAGAACTAACCGCTAATCATGTAAATGACTTCCCAACTTCTGCAGCACTTTAAGATAAATGATATATATGAAAGATTTTGTGGCTAATCTAGAAACTGAATCACAAATAATGGTATTACAAAGGAAATCAAAGATTTGATGTCACTCACAAAACTACCGATGTAAAAATGGGCCACTAACTCTTGATGCTTCAGCACTTGCTAGGAAGTAACAAAGAAAATTTCAAGATCGAAACTACAGTTTTATGTATTGGATGGAACCCGGAAACTGATACTTTGAGCAACGCTTTCAAGACTTCACTCTGTGCTTCTCTGGATAAGCCACTTACTAAGAGGTGGTTACTCTGTTGTGTTGCAAATTTATACAATCCCTTAATGACTGTTTACACCATTCATTATAATTGGTAAAAAAACTCTTTCAAGATACTTAGATTCTTGGAATCAATTGGGATGAAATCTTGCTGACAAACTTGGCTACTATGTGGCACACATTTACAGCCCAGCTTGATGTCATTTGCTCTAAAGAAATTCCTCATTTCATAGGAATTCCATTGCTTGCTTCCTTTAATATTCATATGTTCTGCGATGCATCTGAGCAGCTTATGGCACGGTTTTGTACATAGTTACTTCTCATAATAATCAATCAAGTATCCATTTAGTTTGCAGCCGCAATAAATTTGCACCTTTAAGTAAAATTAGTTTTTTAGCAACTGTTATTGGTATCAGACTGCTGAAATATTTTTGCAATGAAACTGGATTGCTGCCATCCACTGCCACATTATGGAGCTCCTCTAAGGCCACCCTTGGTTGGTTTCGTGGTAACCCCAACAGATGGAAAACATTAGTATGCAACAGGGTAACAGAAATCATTTCATACACTGACCCCTCAGAAGGGGGCATTGCCCGGGACAAGACAATCCAGCTGACAAACTATCAAGAGGCTTTCCACCATCTACACTGAAATATCTCAACATCTGATGAAAAGAACCCACTTGGCTGACTAAACCCACAGAAAGCTGGCCAGATTCTAGAAAAGATTACTCTCATAATTTGGAGATAAAAGAAAAATAAATAAATTCAAACATTTCATGTTACTACTTTTCAACCCATCATAGATGTAATGAACTACAGCTCTTCAGACTGCTACGTGTTACTGCTTGGATGCTACTTTTTTTGTCAAACTGTAGATCTCAAGAACTTGACACTGGAGAAGTATATGATGCTAGAAATTATTGGATACAAATGATTCAGGAAGAGTCATTTCCGCTAGAATATAAAGCTTTATCAACATCCAAGTCACTGCCAAAAAATTCAACCCACTATTTGAAAATGAAATAATATGTATTGGTGGTGGATTACAGTTTTCGAGTAAATCGGAGTCCCAAAAACATCCAATTTTGCGGGACAGATCTCATCATTTCACAAGTCTGCTGATACGTCAAACACATATCAAAATGCATCACCTAGGCATCAGAATAGTGCTTTCAGAACTACGTTTACATTTTTGGATTCTACGAGACTGTCAGGCCATCAAACAAGTGATTTACAAATGCTTACCATACAAGATGTCAGGAGCAATTCGCTGCTCCCAAATTGAAGCTCCTCTACCAGCTGATAGAATTAATCCAGTGACACCAGTTTTCACCGCAGGAATAGATTTTGTCGGCCCTGTACATGTTCACATTTTGAGTCCTTCAGATACAGCATACATTGTACTGGTTACCTGTGCAACGACCAGAACCTTACATCTTGAACTTGTGTCAGATCTTTCGACAAATAAGTTTCTAGAAGCATTGCAGCTATTCGTGGGCCGTAAGGGACTACCACATCCACATATCATCTATAGTGACCATGCAGCAAATAAGTAGCTAATGCTTCTATGGAACACTCTTACATCTACTAAAGTGCAACAGTTTTATACTTATAATGGCATAATTTGGAAGTTCATCGTACCTAGAGCGGCTTGGTGGGGAGATTGGTGGATGCGCTTAATGGAATTAGTGAAAAATTGTCTTCGTAAATCTCTTGGTCGGGCACTATTAGACAAAGAAAATCTATCCACTGTACTTGTAGGGATAGAAGCTGCCCTTAACAGCAGACTCCTTGTATACGAAGAGGGAGATGAAGACAAAACAGAAGCCTTGACACCAGCAGATTTCCTAACAGGTAGAAAATTAACAGCTATATCCACAAATCTGAATAACAATCCAAGACTTACAAAACTCTGCAAACAACTAACAACAAGATGCATTGGATATATTTTGAAAAAGATGATCCAAAGAATATCTGCTGCAACTGCGCTCTTATCACCAAGTTCGCCATATTTATAACTCCTTCAACATCCGTGCAGAAGATCTTGTGCTACTATAAGAAAACGGCCTGAATTACCACTCTTAAAGGCGTGATGGGGAAATTCAATCATACCTGTTGGGAGTGGATGGAAAGACTAACTCGACCTATACAGCTGGTCATCCCTCTTGAGGTTGACCAGGGTGGGTAGGATGTTGCAACATCAATGGAGAGTTAGTTTAAATAATTGTTTTAACACGGCTGGCAACTCTTGTAGTTGTAATATTCTAACTCTGGCTGGTTGCTAGGCAACCAAATAACTTTTTCTTGATATTAATGTTTTTTGTTTATCATCTTCTGTTTCTCTTTAGGTTTAGGTTGATATTTGATGTGTTCGTTCGTGATGTTACATCATGCTCATCTATTTAATTATTAGTTAAAACTTACATAACTACACAATTATAGATTTGGATAATTATGTATTTTTTAATCTGGAAACTTTCAGTGCTATATGTAATTAATAATGGAATTATGATGAAGAAATATCATTTTTTTTTTATCTGAGCCATCATTGTCAAATTTTGAATATACCTTACAAAAATTTGTATGTACTATAGTTTGTGTTTTCTTTTATTTATCAATAAATTTATCTTTTTCCACTTAGCTTGAGCTTTTCACTTCTTTTTTTCTTTTTTTATTATCCATTTTGTGGTCTATATTATTAGTCTGGACTTTTTTGTTATTAGTCATTTCTTCAGAAAATATTGCAGTAATTTCATTTAAACATTGCAAAGGAACAAATTTTGCTTTAATAAAATTATCTTGTTTTACATATGTGGAGCTATTTCTCTGCTGCTACAACAACTTAGTTAAGAATATGGATTATTGATATATGATTAAGAATTTTTTTTTGGTATTATTTCCTTATTAATTTTTCTATTCAAATTATAAACATAAATTTAACATAAAACATAACAAATAGTTTAATATACTATTGATTGTAAATTATTAACTATCTTTGCTATGTGATGCACGCTAAAATGCATTCATGATTATTATTTATTTGTGATGTTTAATATATTTTTGATCATTACTATAAGAATTGAATTTCTCGTAAAAGTTTGACAAAAATTTAAATTTAATAACAGTTTTCAATTTAAAAACTATTTTACCATTATATTATCAGTCTTACAAGTACTATAAGTTTCAATATGAAAAGTGATAACGATTTTTGTTTTATTTTCTTCTATTTATTTATTTCCTCTCTCACATCATATATCATTTTTTTTCATGTTAACTTTTAAATTGATGTTTTCTAAAGTTTTTTAATATGCTAGTTTTAAACTTTTAACTTTAATTTTTAATTTCCTTTTTATATTTTTAATTTAATTAAAAAAATTATGTTTCATATAACTATAAAAAGAAACTTAAAATGTTAATTCAAGATGGTAAATTGGTTTTCTGCAAATCTAAAATTTTTTTAATGATATTAACTTTTTATTGATCTGATGGTATATTAATTGAGTTCCTTAGACACCAGTTGATGTATTGATGAAACCATCAGTTACAGACCAAATAAAATACCTATTGATCAATAATTTATTGCTACTGATGTCAATAAAAATCTGTTGATATCAGTTCATATATTGATAGTAGAATACCTAAACTGATCAACATCTATTGATACAAGTACCCTACTGATGTCAGTAGACATCATTTGAAGTGTGAAATACAGACCAATAGAGTACCTACTGATCAATAGCTATTGATACCAATACACTGCTGATATCAGTTGAAATATCAATCGAAACAAGTACAGACCAATAAAATTCTATTGATCAATATCTATTGATACCAGTACACTACTGATATCAGTTGAAATATCAATAGGGACAAGTACAGACCAATAGAACACCCTACTGATCAGCATCTATTGATACCAATACACTACTAATATCAGTTGACATCAGTTGAAATGTCAATAGAAACAAGTACAGACCAATAAAATTCTATTGATATCAATATATGTTTCTATTGGTTTCTATTGGTCATTTTTTGTAGGGTACACATAATAAAAGAAGTTAAAAGTGTTTCGGAGCACAAAGTTGCATTTTTACGGTGAAATTAATGAAACCAGACATGAGAATATACTACACTGAGAAAAAAGTATATATTTTGGTAAAATTAATTAGTTTGGTATACTTAACAAAGAAATATGGTTTTATAACTCAGAATAAAAGTTAGTAAATGGGCTAAAATTTGGTCATTTTATCATGATACCTTAGAGCAGAGGTCGCCAAAGTGGTCAATATGGACCCCCAGGGGTCTATTTAACATAA